CATAAAAATTGGTGAGCTTGGAGATCAGGTCTCCTGTCAGGCGGCGCTTTCCCCCAAGACTCTCAAGGCCAGGGCCTTTGTGTTTTGCCATCATGTTGTGCAAAGCAGTGCCTATACGCTTTTAGACATGATTGACGCAGTCCTCTTTCTCCACTGGGATATACCCATAAACCTTATCTTCTTGTAGCGCAAGGTAACTGGGGCTGTCCCTGTCGCAAAGCACCGTGATGTAGCGCAGCTTGTGCCGCTCAAGTGACCTCCAGAAGAAGATGAGGACAGCCTCAATATCTATTTCGCCAGCCTTCTTGTCACTGTTTTTCTAACACTGGTGATGTTCCACGCTGCATAAGAAGGGTCACCTCCCTTTGGGCCAGACTCGCATCCAGCACAAAAGTTGCTCAAAACAACGAAGTGAAGCACCAGCCCGCTGAAAAATTCTATGACGGTGCCGAGACTGACATGCGGCGAATGACCGGGAGTCATCCATGACCCATCAAACGACACCGCGATGTTTCCCATGTGGCCTATATTAAGTTCGGCGTAAAGTTCGCGAACCGACCGCGTGCAGTCGCTCGTCAAATTGCGTGCAGCACGATCGGCCGTGGGTGCCAGCTTTGTCTTCACGTAGTGTTGCCACGTTTTTGTGTGAAGACCCCGATGGCTGATGCCCATCAACGAGAACACATCATTCAGCGCGGTCTGTCTGTTCCCCGTTGCCTGCATGGCATACGCGGCCAAAACGTTCACAGCAAAAGGTTTCATGCATTCATCGCTACGTACGCGTAGCGAGCTCTGCAACAACGCAGTCTCCCCACAGGTCGAACACACAAAACGCAACTCCACGGCGAGTACAAATTCCCGGTCGTCGTGGACAATCTGCAGTTCTCCGTTGAATGCCTTGCACTTTGCAAATGCCAACAAAGTGCTGTTCACTGTGTCCAAATCTATAATTGGGAACGTGGTTCCATCAGGCGGCCGAGCTGCTTCGTCGGCACCAACAACCACGAATGCCCGTTTCCACTCCGTCGCTGCAGTGGACGACAACTCCGATAACTTATCTTCGACTTTAGCTCGCTCCTTTTTCAAGTCAGATTGCTGCCGATAGATAGCATCTAGACGCACGCGACCGCTGCTCGAAGGCTCCACGGCTGATGGACTTTGCACAGGCTCCGTGACAACTAATGCGGTAGCTAGGCCTTCCGTGGTAGCGTCGACGACTTCGCCATGGGACGCGGAGAGTGTAGCGTCTCGGGGGGTTTTGCTGTATCACGGAGCACTTCTTGAAATTCGCTACTGGCGTCCTTCGCACCTTTTTCGCATCAAACTTGTGCCGCGTGCGGAATTTGCGCTCAGGATTTGACATCGTGAAACTTTTCCACTGACACTGAGGGAAAATAGCGCGCATGGACGCGCGCCTCAATAGCCGGAGCAGACGAAGCCAGGAGCCTCCACCAATAGGGAGGCAAGCTCAAGCCACGTGCGCGAAGTAGCGAATAGGAAGGCGCTCTGATACTTCTTTTTGCCGCTCATTTCACAAGCTGCCAATGATTGAATTGGACCCATTTTGGCAGGAATTTGAAGGCGAAAGACGGCTCTCTCAAATGAGACCAAGCGGGCCGCGCTGGCACACATGAAAGGGCAGGGGTGCGTCACGGAAAATGTGCGATTTCAACGTGGATTTCGGCTCAGATTTAGCTAGAAAGCGCCGTATAAAGGGTCTTAGCGGCTAAAATAATGATATTATAGGCATGAAATTCACGATATAAGTGTACTAGTAGCTGTAGATTTCAAAAACTCAATAAAAAAAAACTAGTTTTTTCGCGATTTTTTTGGTCTCCAAAACCCGTGTCCCCCCTTAAGTTACAAAACCGAGATATGCAAAAGAATGTCAATAATATGTCGGGCTTTATGTTCTAAAACCAAGATATGATATGAAGAGTGCCGCCAGCTTGCTTATTCATTCACACTGCATGACCAAAGTTGTCAGAAACATTGCCATCATGAATTGACTACTGCAACATACTTCGATTTTGGCCCACTGGTAAGGCTTTGGATTCCACGTACTCCTGCAGGATTCTCCCTCAAGACATCTTCAGAGTATTGCGGCCCTTACCCGGTAGTGCAACAAACGTCTGCAGTCAATTACCTCATGGAGTAACTCAACATGTCGACGGACAAGCGTCACCGCGAACAAGAAATCCTGCAAGTTTCCAGACTCAAAAAGTACTACGATCCCCCGGTATGCCCTTGCCCTAAGGTCGCCAGGATGGCTACCTTATTGCCTGGCAGTGATTGTAATGAAGGTAGTGGACATGCGGCTTGACCGAGAGAGAGGAGAAAGACTACAATGAGCGATCGCTAGCCACTGCTGCTAGCTAGCCCCTGTGGTAGAAAAACATGTGTCCAGTTGCCATGACTCCTGCCATTAAAGGGGCTCTGAAACACTTTTTCAAATAACCATGAAATGGACTCAGCAAGAAAGCTCATTGCCTCACGAACTCAACGGCACAAAAATTTTAAGAATCAGAGCAGAGTTACAAAGATTTATCACATACTGCAATCGCATTCTCACTTCTCTCATCCCGAGGAAAGCGCTAGATGCTAAACAGGGAGGAATGAAAGGAGCAAAGGAAACTCATCACGCGCGCCTCGTAACCTTGAGCACTTTTTTCTTCGAATACACAGCTTTTTCAGAGTGATCTCGAACGCATGCGTGGACAAGTCACGGACCTCCCGCGGCGATCCCTAGTAACGACCGAGCTCACCTTGTTCAAATCAGTCAATGGCTGATAGATGGCCTTCTACGAGTGATTTTATAATGTCTTCCATCATTTGCTGAGAAAAAAGAAAGCAATTTTTAGTAGAAGTGGACTACAGTGTTTTGAAGCAGCTCAGGAAGCAGAAAGAATGCTGTTTTGGAGCAGCTTTGGTGCAGTAAAAGGGGAGTTTTGAAGCAGGTTCAGAGCACCGAAAGATGTATTGTGAAGAAAGAAGAGTGAGTTTAGGAGCAGCTGTCTAAGGTTGAACATCATCGTCAATCAAAACTATTCCTGGTAATGAAAATTTTAATGGTTTTCACTAAGCAATTAGTACTGATGAGCTTACCAGACTTACCATGCACAAAAATGTATGTGTGTTCCCATCATTAAACCTCAAGTTGACAGATAGAAAACAAGAAATAAGCAATGTTTACCTCTTGTTTTCATGACCACTTTACTCCGTTGCCCACATCAAGTGCATTGCTGCAAATGTACCACTCCGCATGTATGGTAGCCCATTTTTGCCCTTGTAAAGCTCGCGCAAGTCGAGTAGTCTCTGCACAACGCTCTTATTCTTATTCCTTCCACACAAAAAAAAAAAAAAACTAAAAGACTTCCTGGTGGGTACTTTGGGCAGCATCTGCTGCGGTACTGTATTTGTTTATTGGTGGTGATGGCGCACACCAAGAGATGCGCATTTGTACTTGACCGCACACTGCCGTTTAGTGCATGATCATGCCGCATTCCCAGCTAGTACAAATTATCGAGATTTACTGTATAACTGGATAATTCACAGTTACTCATGTTGCTGCCACCACTTTTGCAGGGAAACCACGGCAATTACAGTGATGAGACCAGCACTAGCAGGTCCCACGAATAAACCAAACTACAGAGTGATCAAACTACACTGGATACGGATGCGGTCACAACCTTTGTGCAGCCAGTGTTGCTCAGTCGACAACAATAATCAGCTAGATTTGATAGTTTGCACTTCCAATAGACAATTATCACATAAATTGCCGTTTATGGGCAGCGTAGCGCAGCAGGTCAGATTAGCGCAAAGTGGCTTTCATCATTTATTGTGAATTCCAGGCCTGTGTATCACGTAACAATATTTCACCCATGTGCTCTCAGGAGCCTCCACTACAGATAGGTAGCGCTTTCTGATCAAAACATGTTGCATGCCCCTTTAAAACACCATCACTTAAATTATAAGAACTGTGTTGACCATTTCAAACAAATATGTTTGTGTTGCACGAGCATGAATGAGTTGCGAGAGCATGAATTACTTGAGTGTGCAGTGCGTAGCTGTCTCGAGGGGTTGGAGATAATGTTCATGAAGTTCTTCCCCTCTCTACTTTTGCCCTGAAGGACTAGAACAGCATCAGCATTTCACAAAAGCCTGTGTCAGGACAGCTCCACGAACTTCCGTTCCAAGTGATGGCAATAAGTATGCTTCCAGTCTCATTTGTGAAGATGTTTTTTTTTTTTTCTTTTTAACTCTGACACGCAACTGCACATGTGCTTTGTAGCAGAAGGAAAATAAAGCTCCATGACGACAAATCACATCAATGTGCCGTTCCTATTCTTTAATCCCTTTTTTTTTTTGCGGGGAAGGGGGGTGTAGGGGCAATTTGCAGCAGCAGCGCTACGTTTGTGACCACGTTATTGGCACATAGATGTAGCGTACTAACTGAACCAGTGCACAAAAAATGAACGAGCTTACGCTACAGAAAATGCCACAGTAGTGCATTTTGTCCTTCCAATCTGTGTTAGCACTGCCAACTCGCATTCAGTCCTGGAACTGCATTACGTGCGCTGATGGGCAGGCATAAAAGCAAATAGGAGATGACCCTGTCTTGTGAAAGTGGCACGCTGTGTACACAGCAGATCGTAATTCACTGGTTTGGGCACTTCACAACACTCCTAGCATTGCCAGTACTATATGTATCCATCAAATCAGGGCATGCCTGCCAACCAGGGAATACAGTATATATACCCCCACCAAAGTTAGTACAGTGTAGTCAGATGTACGGCTTACTTTTGTAGCCTTTGCTTTCCTCTAGAATGTTCAAATTATAGGTTTCATACGAAATTGAAGATGAAGCAAAACTATAGAAAGTTTTAAAGATAGAACAATGGCAGAAGTGGTACAGCTGTACCACAAACCTGCTCTATGCAATGCTAACGTAACAAATAAGGTCATGCAAAACTGGGAAGCTGGCCATGTGCCACACTTACAAGGTTCTTTTTGCCGTCATAGACGTCAAACACCAGGCCTGCAAGCACAAAAAAGCAACACATTTCTGAGACACTGAAGTACATACTCCATGCATTTCCCACATACAATGCTATACTTTCCTGCAAGGTGCAATATACATAGGTTTACAAAACATTTGTGGCGTAACTCAAACAAGGAGGATAAAACAAAACAAGAGAAGACCGAATAGGGCGCTAGACTTTCAATAGTTTATTTTCTGCACATCACCCAAATTGGTTTCCAATTTATCCCCAAACCTATTGCAGTGCTATCTTAACCGGGCATTCACTCTTGTACAAGAAGATTCAAGCGACAGTGATGCAAGCATCTCTCTTCCTTCGCACGTGATAAAATAAGGGGCCTGTTACCTTTTTCTGTTACATTTTTTTTTTCTTCCTCCACATCCGAGTTGCACCACAAATAAAATAACTTGTTAAAGGAACAGTCCTAAACAAATAACAATTTTCTGTCAGTGTGAAAGATCAATGTTTGAAAATGTCTAAAACATCAATCTTATCAATAGCAGTGCTCTGCTAATCGAAGAAGTGAGGCAAATGTACAACATATATGTGCCAAGAGTGGGATACTTTGGAATGATCCTCGACTTCCCAAGTACAAGTATTCACTAGTAATCAAACTAGCTGTAATAAAAAAAAGAACCTTCCACATATTAGAACAAATAATAAAGTGCTGTTTATCTGTTTCTCTTTGATTCATAGAAGAAAGGACCACTTGGCGTTACCATGGGGAACAAAGTGGTTCAACAGTTCTGTTTTCGTCAAACTGGGCTTCACTCACGCGGTCGCATCTCAGAGGTACTAATTCATGAAAAAAGAACCACTTGGTGTTACCATGGTGAACAGCACAAGTGCTTCAACAGTTCAACAAAAGATGAGAAAGGGGTAAAGCTCTGCTTGCCAGAACCCGCTTAGACATGGAACAAACCTGCTTTTTAGATGCTACTTCGTACGCTTAAAAACAAAAAAAACCTTCTCTTCAGTGGTCGCTGAATGTGATTCTAAAGCAATCAGCTGCGCTACCATCCGCACTTCTCGCTCCAGGGTTGCTGAGCAGGCTGCCGGTGCTCTTGTATTGACGGACGGTGTACATGACACAGTTTATGACTCCAAGGCTGCTATCAAGGCATTTCGAATGGGTGTGGTGGCTCCCCAGGTCCTACAGATCCTTTAGAAAGCAAAAATACCTCAAAAAAATTATGGACCATCTCCCTGAAGGGAACCATGGTGAAATGCGATGAAGCAGCAGTGAGCACGCTATTGACTCAGCTGAAACAGGCATCGACGCAGGTGCTGGAAAAACGGATTGAAGCGAAACTGGGAGTAGCCTTTACTCTTGTACACGTTTCTTTGAAATGCAAAGACACAGGAGGCGGATTGGGTTTCGTGTTAAGTTTTATCGCAGATAAACGAGCCAAAAGAGTTTCCGCCTCACGTGCGGTCGAACGTTGCGGGCGGCGGAGAGGGTGAAGCAAGAGAGAAGTGTATTGCAAGCGGGCGGAGGAGAAGCACCACCTAGGTGTGTAGAAAGGAGCCCGCAGCTGCCACAGGTGAGAGAGAGAGTGACGTCAACGCGCAGCTGCGACTTGACCTACATGGCATCGTTTCAACAACTGCGGCAGGAAGAACGCGGTACAGTGCATTGGCACGAGGACAGTTACAGAGGCTAGTCAAAGAGCTGCTTCGCATCTAATAAAACGTCATTCGTTTTGTTCTGTTATGGAAGCTTGTCCACTTTTTTCTTTGTGACCCCAGGCCATGACACCACATTGACGACGAGATTTAATGAAGGCATTACCTCACCTGTAGCCACGCTCTGTCATGAGCTTCTATGGCGTTGCCCCACTACCACCATTTTCGCCCATGCAGGGCCGCCCACCAGTGTAATGGCCCAATGGTTTCGCATGTTTGAAACCTTTCTTTTGGCTTCCAGAGCATCTGACTTTACGCCCGAGCTATGCAAAGCCCTTCTGCTACATAATTTGGGAACTGAAAGTCAGCGTATTTTTTTCACACTGCAACCCACCCCATGTTTCCAAAACGCCCTTCCCCCGCACGAGTACTACCACAACTGAGACTTATGAGGCTAAGAAATTGGCCCCTGTCCCATCATAATACGAACATGCCGTCGCTGCGTTGACACAGCATTTTGCCTTGACAAGCAATGTTGTCGTGGAACGCAATCGCTTACACCACCGCACCCAACAGCCAGGCGAGTCCACACAGCAGTACGTCGACGCTTTACGGAAACTTACTGCTTCTTATTCTTTCATCGCCACGAGCCACTCTCTCCCCGACCAGTTCGTCAGAAGAATCAGAAGACCTTCGTGAACATCTGCTTTTAGAGGGGTCACCGCTCTCTCTTTGCACAATAACTTGAGCAGGCTGCTCAGCAAGTTCGTGAGCTTGTTCCTGGGTACGTTCAGTAGGTGACTTCGCGAGGCGGTCGTTTTTCAAGAGGTTCGACGCGGTCGCGCTCGTCTTCCCACCAGTTAATGTCACTGCAGTCAAGCCCCCTCAACTGTTTGTCACAGATTACCGGGGCTGCCGCTGTGGGCGATGGACTGAGACATGACTATGTTAACAACAAACCACATTTAATAAACCCACACAGAACAATATATACAAAAATGTATAAAATCAATATTATTAACTTCAAATTCAAGCTAGGCCTCACTAAGCTTACACTCCAACCATGCTACACGCTATAAACTGTCCTCATCAACATCGAGCATCTATCCGCAATACGCGAAGCGTATTGCGGATAGTGTTGCGCATGCCGATACCGCCGGCACGCGGCCTTATCATCGTCCAGGATGCACAGCGATTCATCTGGGAAGATCGTGGCCCGCACGTCGACAATTCATTGATTACGAGATAGCCCCAGATGCTACGACGACTGTATCTCGAATGGTGAGCGCGCCTTGCAATCCAGTGGGACATTCTGTTCCCCGACGGCCGTCGAACATGCTGTTCGCCACCCGCTAAGCCGATGTGTCTACTTTCCTTTAGTGGGCGCAAGTCCGCCAAATAAAGGGATCTCCTTCCATTTCTACGAGCCTCCCGGTCTCCTGTCTTCGGGCTACCCTCACTCTTACAAGACATCTGGTGGAGGTGCGGGGTATGCACAAGAACGACCTTAAAACAGCCACTGCAGAGAACGAGGACGCTGAAGACAGATACTCGAAGCAGCCGCCGCCTCCGAAACCTGCCACCTTAGCTGGGACCGCTACCGGACCCCACGCGACCACGAAAGGACGCTTCCACAGCCACCATGAGCACCCCACAATCACCTATCCCTGTCATGCTGCAGCAGCCGCGGGTGCCCCCAACTTTCCATGGTTATGCCGCTGAAGACCCAGAAGAATAGCTCGACCAATTCGAGCGCGTGGCTACCATAAACAGGTGGGATGAAGAAATGAAGCTGCAATACATTCACTTTTCCCTGGACGGCCCCGCCAAAACGTGGTATGAAAACCATGAGACCACACTGACCACCTGGGAATTTCTGAAGAGTGAGTTGCTCAGGACCTTCACCAGCATCATACGAAAAGAAAGGGCCCAGCTGCTGCTAGAATCGAGGACCCAACAGCCCAATGAGACCCTAAACGTGTACGTCAAAAAAATGAAACGTCTTTTTAGGCGAGCGGACCAAGACATGACCGAAGACAAAAAGGTAGGATACCTAATGCGAGGGGTGAAGGAGTCGCTTTTCGCCGGTCTCATAAGGAACCCTCCTAAAACAGTCGCCGAATTTACTGAAGAAGCGCACACCATAGAAAGGACCCTGGAAGCCCGGACTCGGCAATACAACCGCCCGTTTCAGCTCAGCTCACTCTACTCGGAACCGATTCGAGGTGGGCTAACCACCAACGATCTGCGGGAAGCTATTCGAAAAGTGGTTAAGGAAGAACTACGCCGATTGCTACCTCCTACCCCCCAGCCCCCCAAGGAGCATCTCTCTTGGACATAGTGCGTGATGAAGTCCAGCCGGCGCTTGGCTCTTCATCAGCGACGACTGGAACAGAGGCCGAAGCAATGACTTGCGCTGCTGCAGTGAACACTAGGCCACCCCGACAAAACGAGCCCAGTCCTCGACAGTACGCTGCAGCCCCAAGTAGCCGTCCGCCCTTCCCCGCCCACCCTACATACGAGAGACACCCGAACCCAAGAAAATGCGACACCTGGAGAACTCCCGACGACCGTCCCCTATGCTTTCACTGCGGTGAGGCCGGCCACATTCTTCGACACTGCCCCTACAGGCGAATGGGACTGCATGGCTTTTCATCTCAGGCACCACGGCCACGCCCTGGACAACGACCTCCGGCAATCGAAGACTACTTGCGCCATACAGAGTACTTGTCCAGCCGTTCTCCATCATCGCCATCCCCACGCTTCACGTCACCGAACCGCAGCAACAACGAACGAAGAAGGTCCCCAAGCCCCCGCAGGGGAAACTAAAACCAGCAACCTTTGGAGGTGAGGTTGCTTCAAGAGGAAAAGCTGAAGACCCTCCACCAATGACCATATATGATGACAGCACATCATCTACGATGACAACGCACAACAACCCAAGCCGCGAGATGAAGCAAAACGAAGCAACAAGACGAAGCCGTGACCCGAACCCAAAACCACACGCAACTCCAGCCCACGTGCCACCAATTTTGAAGTATCTATCGACGGCCACCCGGTAACTGCCTTGATTGACACAGGGGCTCACTACTCGGTCATCAGCGGGCCATTGACAGCACAACTGAAGAAGGTTAAGACGGCTTGGGACAGCCCGCAGATCCGCACAGCGGGAGGCCACCTCCTCACCCCATCGGGGCGATGTACTGCAAGGGCGACATTCGATGGTCACACACACCTTGCGACTTTCTTGGTGCTCCCACAGTGCTCCCGTGACTTCATTCTCGGCATGGACTTCTTGACTCAACATTACGCGGTTATTTACCTGGCGTCCAGATCCATCAAACTTTCCTCGGATGAAGCCATAAATTCA